TGAAAAGAGGTTTTATTAGCTATTTAACTCATTACTTTTCAATGTAAGTTTTTCCTGGGTATGTATCTCCATAACTGAGAACGAAAGAGACAGACACAGAGAGAGTGATTCTGTGATAATTGCTAATACGACATATTCAAGTACAATCCAGTTACAAAAACAATGTTTAACATGTATTTGGCGATTATTCCCAAATAGTTTATAGTCATCATAGAATTCTTCTCAGGCTGCTTTTGTAAATTCTACTCCGCCTCCCCTTTCTTTCAACTGAATGATGTTGTTCCGGATTTACTAGGCCACAATTAAATTATCGCATTTCAATAACAATAAAACCAACAAACAAACAAATAAATACTTTGAACGATTGTCAGCACTCGTACAAACATCGGGTTAAAAATGTACTTATTCCTTGGTAAATAATGGAATCTTGTTTTGCCTTCAGTTTATTGTGTATGAGGTGTTTTAATCTCCGAGCTATTTTTCTAGGCGCAATTTTGTTTACATTAAAGGTGTGTGAGAAATAAAAATAAAAACTTTTTATGATGAATTTAAAATGGAAATATCTTGTAGATTGAAATGTAATCACGGATTGTAATGTTAGAAATTGTATAAATTATTCGAAGTACTTAGTTATTATTTAATTAAAAATATTCGCATACCGTATATACTAATATAATATTGCCCATTAGTATATAGTGGAGCAACACTAAAACGATTGATTTTCAGAATTTCTTCATCACATCTGGAGTGAGTTTTCGCGCTTTAGGTGAAGGTATCTGGTAGATGAACGATGATATGTCAGATGTTATAAATAAAGTTGTCTTGGCGCGAAAATACCTAGAATCCCAAATTCGGATTCAGCGTAGATCAATCCTTTAGTATACTTTGTTCAAACAAAACTTTAGTCGCAAAATTTTTAATTCTAACCTAGTCTTTAAGCAGATTTTAGCATTACGATCGTAACTATGTTTTGTAAGTTGTTATTTTAGTGTAGGAGCTTCGAATCGAAATGCAGAATATCAAAGTTGTCGAACGAAAAAAAAAATCGATTCGAATTGAAATGAAATGAGGAATGAATTTTCAAGTTAGAATGACTGTTTCACAATCTGGAGAATTATTTTTTTCTCTTCTTCTTCGAGCTAGTAAGCTTTCCTTATGCACCATATGGTATGGACTTTAGCACCTCATTTCATGTTCGCATTTTTTAATTTCTCTGAGCTTACTAAGTAAAGATCCAGTTTAAGTTGGGAAAGTTTTCGGGCAATTGTGATTGGAATTTGAACTTTATCGACTACGACCTTCTCATATTTCCGATTATTAATAATGGACAATATTATGACGTTTTCATTATTTTTTACGATATTTGTAAATACTGTACATTCTTAATTCTTTACAATTTTGAACACTTATACTCCTTTACAAGACCTTTTTCCTAAAGAACTCTTTAGAATTACTATGGAATCACAACACTAACCTGGCCTCCGGTAGGTAAATGGTTAGTGTTCTAGACTGGTAAACCGGAAGGGCCGGCACAGGTTAAGGAGAACAAAACAGGTCCGATAGAGGCCCAGGTGTATTTCTGTGGATTTGATATATATATATATACATCCTCCTTTCAAACTAACTAACTTTGGACACCTATTCGCCGACACGAGACATTCTTTGTCCTAGAGAACTCTTTAGAATTACTTTGGAATCATAACGAGTTCTTGAAGTAATGACTATAAAACTATTTTTTTTTTAATTTTTATTAAATAGACTAATAAAATAGCTATGGTACCAGGCCACTCGGGAGTAATCGGCACCGAAAGGGCGAATGTAATAGCTTTAAAGGGAAGGGAGCTCGAGGCAGTTAACCTGACAAACGCAAAACCATTCGACACAACAAAAGCTGAACTAAAAATATGGGTGAGAGAATCCCATAAGGCCTCTTGGAATAATGAAACAGTGGGTAGAACCACGAAGATCCTATGGGGTGACCCTGATGAGAGCAAGACGAAAAATCTCCTCAAAATGAGCAAGTCTGAAGTTAGTATGATGGTACGTATTCTGAGTGGACACACAGGATTACGAGCACATCTATGCAAAATTGGACGTGCGGATTCAGACGATTGTAGAGCATGTGGAGAGGACAGTGAAACTCTGGAGCACTTTCTTTGCCACTGCCAGGCATTCGTCGAAGTTAGATCCAAGTATCTTGGAAGTGATGTTATTCCGGAAATAACATTCCTGACTAACACTGATTGGAAGATTCTTAGGAATTACGTTCAAGAAACTGAGTTTCTGAACACTGAAAAATAATTCATTCAGTGATTTTTTTTTTCATGATAAGGAGCTCACAACAGGCCCGATAGTGGCCTAGGTGTATTTCTTCGGATTTGATGTAGTATACATCCTCCTATCAACCTAACCTAACCTAATAAAATAGCTTATGACAATGTCATTATTAACATTATTAATATGAATTAGAGGGTTAAGTTAGCTACAAATATGTTTAAGAACAAGGACCGCCCCTTTCGTTTATCAACAGCGAATGAAAATAACGTATAAGTATTTGTTGCTGTACAAGGGATGAAAATCCTTATTGGAGTATGAATGTTAAGTGTTTTCATTCTTGTTGGAATGTAAAATTTATGTAATTGTATAAAAGCCAGAGTATTCCCAAGAGATGCTGTTATTTCTTAATAAATCCTATTAGAGTGCGGTTGATAATTTAATAGAAATATTTAGATTTCTTAAAAAAAAAAAATTGTGAAATATTTTTTCAAATAATTAAAATTAAATATGTCGCGTAATCAATTGCCCGATTCGTCATCATCTCCTCCAATTAGGTTTGTAATTCTAAAATACTTGTATTTTGGAGAAGAAATTAAATCGTTAAATTTTAAATTTGCTAAATTTGAAAATATTGAAAATATACTTTAGATTACGCCAATATATTTTTATTGATTATATGCATTTTGACTAAAAGAATACAAAAAAATAATGATAATAATTTAACTTTATAACAATGAACTTTATAAAAAAAAAATAAATATATATAGCGTTAAGCAAAACAATATGAATATTTTATTTTAAAAATATATAATAATAAAAATAAAAAAGTGTTAAATAAAATAATAAAGTAATAAACAATTAAAAACATATAAAATACTAGCATACCCTGGGTGCTTCGCTAACCTAACTTAAATTAAATGCATACAAAATTTTGTTTACTTTTATAGAAAATTAAAATTAATTAAACATTATTTTAATGTTTCAGTTTTATACGTTCAATATCACGTGATTAAATTCGCATTCAGTAAGAAGCTTGTATTTTTAGTTTCATTCATTTAGTTTCCACATTATAGAAAATTTCGAAAGTACTATTTGAAAAAAAGTACTATAAAATACCTCTAATAGATTATCATTTAATCAAAAATTGTATGTTTCTGTGTTCAATATTATATACAATTCAAAAAATATAATTTTAATGAATGAAAAAGTACCAAAAGTCCCTTTCAGTAGATTCTCATTCAGTAAGGTCCCTACATTTTACATTTTATTTTCAATATCGTAAAAATATCAAAAAGTACCATCGGAAAAACGAAAAAGTACAAAAATCTCTCTCAATAAATTCTCATTTAATTAGGACCGTGTGTTTCGGTTAACCATTATAAAGAATCTAAAAGGTACCATTTGAAGAATAGAAAAGTATCAAATAGTTCCCACTTACAGAATATTATTTAGTCAAGACCATGTATGTTAAAATTAATGTTTCTAGGTTGAATATTTTAGAAAATTAAAAAAGTACCATTTATGAGATAAAAAGTACTAAAAAGTTCTCATTTAAAGAATCTTATTCAATGAGGACCGTGTATGTTTAATAATCATGTGTTTTGAATTCATATTAAAGAACATACAAAGAGTATCATTTGAAGAAAGAAAAAGTACCAAAAGTGGAATAAATTTTACCTAAGCGGAAAGTTCTTATAAAGAATACAATTTTTCCCCTTTTCGCTTAGAAATATACCTTTTCGAGAATTAAGTTTACAAAATGTTCCTTATTTAAATCTAATTTAAATATATATCGCAAATAAAACTCAAACGATTCAAATCTGCATTCATTCGTTCCAGAAAAATAGTGCTTTCAAAAAGTACCAAACAATTTACTCGAATTCGGTCCTATTTAGGCCTTAGTACTCGAATTCCAAAATTATATACCAACAGCTTATTTTGTGTGAGTAAATAAACTACTTTTTCAAATTTTATAAAAATTGGCTCAATGAGTTTGAATAAAATTAAATTTCCCGTTTTTTTCCTTTTTGGTACTTTTTTCCCCAGTGAAATAGCAAAAATTTTATTACAATAAATATTACAGAGTTAGTCCGTAATTTAATAGGAATAATTCAATAAACCGAAAAAGTTTTCTTAATGTGCTAAAAAAAAAGTACCATAAATACAGTTTTCTCCCTTTAACACCCAAAAAGAACTGAATTTTAAAAAAGTACGAAACAGGTGTCTCATAATTTTGGGAGATGTATCCAAAATATTAATAAAAATTTTATTATGTTAATTAGTTCAAAAGTTATAAAGGTCCAAAAAATGTACCAAAATCACCTTTGTTACACATTTTTACCCCTTAAAAATACGAATTTCAAGAAAGTATCAGACACCCATCTGCTCATTTTAAGAGTAGATACAGGTGCTTTTAAAATCTTTCTTGTATTACTAATATTGTGTAAGATAATTAAGAAAACCTGTTTTACCCTTTTTTTTCCCTTTTTACCCGTAAATGTACAAATTTCCAAAAATCCCTCCTTAGTGGATCTACATAACCAAAAACACATTTCATGATTCTAGGTTCAGCCGTTTGGGCTGTGCGATGATAAATCAGTCAGTCAGTAACACTACTAAAAAACAAAAAAGTGACCAAAGAAATGTGTTTTAACTTTACAATTTATAAAAAATAAAAACTGTAAATCTTATAATTTTTCTTTTTTAATTTCATCTAATTGCAGCCATTTGTCTTTTCATAACTTTGATGATGACATGATAAATGATTTACCATCATGTGTGTATGCGGGTGGTACTGCCGTCGGAAGTGGAAGTGGTAATTTACGGATGAGCTCCAATTTCAGACAAATTCAACAACAATATATGCAACAAGGAAATGGTAAGAATTAATTTCCACAGAATTAGTCAATCTGAATTTGTTTAATATATGAATTGTTTTGGAAATAGAAACAATTGTTGCGAAAAACTAAGATAAAATTTGAAAAAAATTTAACTGTGTTCCTAGGACGTTTTTAATGTTCTTACATTGTTAGATTTTACGATATCTTATATAAATACTATCAAAATCCGCCGATACGTTCGAAAGTTATAAGAAAAAATCTACATAGCATACACATATAGATCAATTTTGAGAGCTTCTTCTTTAAAGCAAACTAACAAATAAAATTTTAATCGGGGGATAAATAGCGGTTTTCGATAACAACATTTTGAACTATACAGAATAGCTTCATTTAGTTCTAATTCTTAGATCTGTATATAAATAAAATTTAATACATTTATTTAAATTTTCTTTTCAGAAAATATGTTAGATTCTTCAACAAATATTGGACTAAACAACAACAATAACAACAATTCATCATTAATATGTGGTAGTCCAAATGCTGGTAGCAGTTCGTACAATTCTGTCCCATATAAAATACAAAGACAACAGGCAAACGTACGTGAGCGGAAACGGATCCAGAGGTCGGCACCAACTGGGTACAAACTATGATTTCATTATTATTTTATTATTTCCAATTACATTAGTACATAAAACAACAAATATTTATTTGAAACTAAAGGCTTTAATGTGTGTATTAACATTGTTGTTTTCTTATTTTTATTTTAAAATTTGCAGTAGTATAAATTCAGCATTCGATGAATTAAGGGTACATGTTCCAACATTTCCCTATGAGAAACGTTTAAGTAAAATCGATACTTTACGTCTGGCAATTGCTTACATTTCATTGTTGAGAGAGGTATTGCAATCCGATTACGATCCTTTAACGTATGTTGAAAAATGTTTACGTGGAGAAATAAAAGCGGACAGAGCTAATTGGAATACAAGTGGTAAGTGGAAATTTTGTAATAAAAAATTGTATATTTAAAGGGTCAACAAAAATAAAACGTTTTAACGAATAAAATTACTTAAAACCCGGCAAATCTAAAGCAAACAATTTAACATACAAACAAGTAACAGGGCTAAATTCAGCTATTCCAAATCTTATAGACCCTTCAAATTTCGATTTAATTTCCGCATTCAATTACACAACTATCGACAAAAAAGGTATTCCAATAAAATATTGAATCGTAAGCAAAAGAAGAAGCAATTCCATTTCGGTTCAATACTGTGCGATTTGCATTTCGATCGTGCTACGTTTTTATAAGTTTTTATTTTAGTGAATTTTTTTCATGTACTTTTCGGGGAAATTGTCTCATAATAACGGAGATTACTTATGAACCAATTTTGGTGACTTTTCGAAACCATGTCTTGTAGAATTATTGAAGATTCGGATCCCGAAGATACTTACAGATATATAGACAGACATTGTTACATCGACATTGCTATCTACTTATAAGAATTCAGAATATTTATGGGCAATTTCGTGTCAAGTGAACCAACTTTTAAAATCGATGTCTTCCGATTTGGATGAAATTAGCACAAAGGTTAGTACTATTCGATAGTAGGCAAAACACAAATTTTCAGCTCTATTGGTCAATTACTGCCGGACTTAGAGGGGGGTCAAAGTGAGATATTTTGGTCATACAGGGTTTTATTCAAATGACTGCAACTCTTTTCCTATTGGTCCTAACAAAAATTGTCCAAAGGGGTGTTCAGATAGCTATTTCTTTATTGTTTTCAATTTTTTTTTTTTTTTTTTTTTTTTGAGTTGGGTCACTTGACATGAAATTGCCCATATGTATATAAAAAATTACAAACTGAATGGCAAACTAATGTATACACTTCTCCCGAAGGTGGATGTTATAAAAAGTAGCTTATGCTTTCCGCACAAGCGAAAACTTTTGTTAAGTATAGAATCCTTCCGCCTATAGCATTTTTACTATCATATAAGAAATTAAGAATCATGTATATTTTTAAGTGTAATAAATGCAATTGTGGTATTCTTTATATTTACATAACTTTTAATTCACAAGTAATATTTTTTATTTCAGATTTAACAGCACGTTTATCATGGATTAATTGGGAAAATCTTGGCGTTCATCCAGGCAGAAGAACTTTGTTGACTTCATTAGCACTATCATCTGAGCCAATGTGTGGAACCCATTGTGGAGCTCCTTAAATACTTAGTCCAATCTCAACATCAAATTTTTCTTCGTTAAATTGTGTTCTCTTGATTCACATTGTCTTCCAATTCATTTATTTAGCATTATTTGAATTTAATTTCATGTAATAGAAATTTAATTGATCTCTAAGATGTGCTATTTAGTTAGTTACGATATTAAAGACGCAAACTATATTAGTTTTGGTTGGCATTTATAAGTTTTATGTTTTTTATTTGTTTTTGTTTTGCTTTTACTTATAATACTACTTAAATATGTATGTGTATGTATAATTACGGTTTACAATGAATTAAAGTATAACAGTTTTGATAAATAATATAAATTTTTGGTTTTATTGAAGCAACAAATTGTTTCGTTATGTCTTTTTTAAACAAAAAACACAAATACTAATACATAAATATACACTTTGATTAATAAAGTAAGTATGTTTGTATTTCAATTACAGCTAAAACAGAAAGATACACAGAAGAAGCAATATATTTATTAGGGTTTTCACTTAGGAAAATCTTAAAAACAATCATAAAAACATAAAACTTAATAAATATTTATTTTATTATACTAATTACTAATATTGTACTTTAAAAGTCATTTACAGTATCTAAGCCTTTTTTTGTTAATATTTCTTCTCTCACAACTTATTGGCAAATAAATAAATTAAACAAAATACTAATTGAAACACAACAATTAACGAATACAATTCTTCAATTTGGCCATAAATACTATATCTCTATGTATGTGTAGTATAACAATTATTGTTCATTAAAATATTAATTTGGCTGCTATTTTCTTTTATAACTCTTCATCATCTAAGGCAGTTATAGCATTTTAAGAACACAACTACATAAACAAATATGTATGTATGAATGCATTTTTGTTTCAAATTGGCTAATATTAAATATATAGTTTATAGTTTATTTCATATTTATTTTTATATTTAATTGTAAGTTCATAAAAGATTACGCACCATTATAATGAAAAATAATAAATTTTAAATAGGATTTAATTTTGAAAGATGTTAAACGCTTAGAAGCTTATAATGGTATCCAATTGGGGTAAGTTAATTATTCAAAATTTTTTCATATTAAAAAACATAAAACAAATATGCACACACATTTAAAAATATGAGTTGTTCGCGGTGTTTTAAAAGAAAATAATAAAAATATAATAAAAAACATTGGATTTATTTTTAAAAAGTTTTTGTTCCATAGCAAGTTTCTAAACTCAATTATTTAATTCTAAAAAGCACACACTTCTATTTTTGTTAATAGACTAACGAGGAAAACATAAATAACCATAGATTTACTTAATTTTAATTGATTTTTTTTAGTTTGTTTGCAACCGATACACAAGTTGTAAATATCAATTCCAAAATAAGGAAATTTTAAAAACAAGTTTTGCTTTCGATGTTAACTAATAATAGATCTACATTCATAGATACTTACATACATGTATACATAATACATACACAATTAAGTAAAATATATGCATAGTTACTATTTGTTTTTGTTGATTAATAAATATTAAAGATTAGATTATTGCCCAACAATAAAATCATGTTGCAGTTTAAGTGTTATTGCGACCAACACATATTTTACGTAGACTTTCCAATTCACTACGCTTCAAGCGTAAATTGAACATAGTCTGCATAAAAGTATGACAGTCTGTTACAATTTCGTCATGTATTAATGTCTCTCGGAAGAAATTGGCCAAGGCGCCGATATCATCAGCTGCTAAGATGGCGGCTTTGTGCGTTATAAACATGGTCAATGCAACTCGAAAAACAATCTGTTGTAACGAGATATTTATCTTTCAATAATATAACATAAAAATGGAAAAGCTTACCTTATAGCCCTCGGAAAAAACACAATCCCATATGCGTAAAACGGTTTCAGCAGGAAGAACTTCGGCAAAAATACAAATAAACCATTTACTGGCAATGACAGCATAAGGCAGTCCTGAAAAGAAGTATACATTAACACAAATCATAAAATCTTTAAAATTTCCAAGAACGTACCTAATTTTTCAATATGCTTGTTTACAGTTGGAACACGTCGTATAACCATCTCTTTAAAAACGGCCATATCTCGCAATAAATTAGCCATATTTTTGGTGTGATATTGAGGCACAATATTTTCCACCATGTGCTTTAACAGCCAAAACGACTTTTCTTCGTCATCGGTAACTATGAGCAATAGACCAGCTATATAATTTAGACCTTGACAGTAGCCAACTTCTCGATTGTGGTGAGCATACGCTATCAATATGTTGTACAAACGCTCTTTTTTCGTTTCGAAAAATATATTGTCGGGGAAAGTGCGAGGTAGATCTATTGATATGGAATCGCTTATTTCTTTTTCATATGTCGTATTTAATAAACTTCGATAGAGATCGGGTGAGCGTTGCTGCAGTGTATAAGCACCAGATATTTTCATCCAAACATCAGGACGGTAGGGACCTAGAGTTTAAACATAAAAACAATACATAAAGTTTACAGTGGCAAAAGAAAAGAAAATGTATTTACCTGGAATCCCCTTTCGTATGTATCGTTTTAGTTTAGGATTTATATTCGTGAGATCAGTGTTCTGCTGCATAAGAGCTTCCCATTTTATACGCCTATTTGCTAGCGTTTTCAAATATGAGGACATGAACAGTTCATATGATTTGTAATCAAAATTTTCAGGACGTTTAAATCCATATTCGTCCACATCACTAAAACAAAAAATTTTATTTATTATGTAGTAATTTTTATATTTTTTGTGTATGTATCTAAATTATAAGATTTGTTTTATATTTTATTTTTTATTATTTATTGATTTATTATAATGATCTACAATACTACGAACTGTAGATTTTCGGATATCATTGCTTCTAATTGATGTTCATCGAAAGTTAATGACTTATCCTTCATAAGATCACGTAAAACTGCAAAACACTGCATTTTCTTGTTTTACTTGCTCAATTATAAAATATAACTAAGAGGTTCTTAATGGGATTACATATTTTACAATATACATTTTTAAAAATAAAGTTATTACTTATGATTATTAATAATTGTGGTTTGGTATGAAATATACTATTGAATTGAGACAATATATAAATATGTATGTTGTGTTCACTGATCAAAGTTATATATTGATTACTTTAGTAATATATTTATGAGTAATGAAAGTCAAATTGTTTTTAATTAAACAAATTAAAGATAAAAAACATACTAAAAGTTTAAAAATTGTGATTTAGATATTGAGTCTAAATCAAGTCTGTAATAAAATTTAATTTTAAAATTAGTATTATTTCAAAATGTGTATAATTTTTAATTCAATTCAATTTATTTTCGAAACAACAGAAACCCTATTTTTAATTATATCGGTTGGGGGAGTTTATTGGCCTATCATTGTTAAAAAATAATTTAAATTTCTAAAGTATGTGTGTTAAATATATAAATACACATACATACATTCATATGTACATTAAATAAATTTCCATTAACAGTAACTTTAGAGTATAAAGTCTTTTTATATTTTATTTATTGTATTTATTTATCTAAAGTGTAAATAAATAGTTAAGCAATAGTAAGTCTATGTTTAAATAAAATTGATTTATTACCCAATAAACAAAACGACATCATAAAGATATCAAAATGGAAACACCTAGAGGATATTGTGCATTTGGCTTAAAATTAGTAAAACAAATTTGATATTTGGTGTATTGGGTATCTAATACTAATGCTATCTAAACTCTGTACCTATAAGAAAACAATTTCACAATTTGTTCTGTAATGTAATGACCACAATAAACTATAAAAATTATCGAATGAGAATCAAAAACTTAAATAGAATACAAATTAAAATTCACTTTTATTTGCTGTTGTCGTAGCAGACGACAATATTAGGTGGGTGATTTCCGTGTATAAGGTTTTTGTTACAATGTGTGTTGTGTGACGCACCCTCACGTAAAGTTTAAAACTAGTGGCTTATCCAAATAAGTATTAATAAGTAAAAACTTACCTAAATTTTGAAGAAGTTGCGGTGTTAGCCATAAGAATGTTTGTTTTTAAGGTGCTTTTTTCTTTTTCAAAATAAATTACTTAATCGGTAAATTGACTGAGTGTTTGTCTGATTGATTATTAAAATCAATTCTTTCAAAATATCTTAGATAACGAGTTCGTTTAGTTTATAAGAAATGTTAAGTGTAATCCTCCACTGCTATTGTGATTCGATGGCAAACATTACCACCATAAATAAAAAAAGTATAAAATAACACTTTGATGAAATAAAAACCACTCTTTGGTAATCTAAAATCAGTAAATGGAAATACAGGTTGTTAAAGTAATAACAGAAATGTAAGATCAAAAATATTTATCTATAAAAGAAACGTGTGGGATGTACATCTATAATTACCTCTATAATTCGTTTAAGCTATTTATGTCCTGGGCGGGGAGGTATAATGACTAAAGAAAAATCCAATAATTTACTGCGACATTTTTAGTAACTTCTCGATGAATATTATGAAATTATATTCCTCTTTTTCAATTGAAGCACTGACCGACTGTGCAACCGGCTAGTGTGTTATTAATTATAGTAGTAATTTTTTATATTCTTTTTTTTTTTTTGGTGGGAGTATTTCTTTCGTTCATTTATTGCTTTTTGTATACACTTCTTCCACTTCGCATTCGAATCATGCATCAATTTTCGATTTGCTTTCTATTGAATGCGTTTGATTTCGCTAATATGCATTTTGTTGTTGTTTTTTTATACTTATCTAAATTTATCATAATTAATTTATATTGTATATTGTTTATATTCTTATTTTTAATTAATTAAACCAAAGGGGTTTTTTCTAAAGAGAAGTACGCAAAAACCTGCGCCGATCAAAATTAACAACGCCGTCTCACACTAAACATTTCGGCGGTATTGCCATACAAAGATATATTAGAGTTACCAAGTTTTCACATACATATTACTCTATGTGAAACACCTTGTTGTTTTTTATTGATAATTTTGCAATAGGAAAAAGTAAAAATTCTTTTTATATCAGCTACTAAAAACTTGCAATGTATCTTACATATATAACATATGATATGTTTAATTAATTCTAATTTCTTTATTGATTTATTTTAAGTTTCTTTTTCACGTTAAATTCAACACTGTGTTTTTATTATGTTTACAATTTTATACTGGCAATACTGTGCCAGAGAACTGTCATTCGTTATGCAATTCAGGTGAAAATATTGTAAAAAAAGTTTTATTTAGTATTTTATTTAATTGATTAATTTTTTTTAATATTTATTTGTTAAAAACAGTTGCGGGTCATTTGGAAGTTAACAACATAAAATCGTTCATCTGTGCCTAGTGTTTGCTGGGAGCTTGTGTGATTGGAAAAAATTTAAATATAACAAAAAATACTCATTACAAAATGTTTCGCAAATGTGTTACTTTGCCAACATCAACTTTGTTGGCAGCTGTCGCTGTCCAAAATGCTAGTTCTGGCTCTGAACCTAAAAAACAGGAGCCTGTAAACGATTTGTCCCACTATCAGTGTAAACCTAATGATTTGCCTTTATACGCTCCTTTGCATTCATACAATAAGTAAGCAAATCATTAAAAAACATTGCGTTTTCAAAAGATATAAAATAGTGTTGTTATTTTCAGGCCACAGAAAAAATGTCATACAAAAGTAAATTCACCAGCTCGTGATGCAATTGAATCTGGCGTTCGAACTGTACGCACGGAAGTTCAAGCCGGCTATCATTTGTTGTCTAAACAAAAGGAAACTTTCGATGAGTATATTCATCAAGCTAAGGAGCAAACACAATCTACCATAGATTACTTAAACCAGCCACATAACCTTATGCCCAGAACTGGTGCTATAGCTATTGGTGGTTTGTCCGGTTTTATATTTGCTGCCCGTGGAGGTTTCATCAAGAAAGTTCTCTACACTACAATTGGTGCTGGTGCGGTCGCTTCCCTTTGCTATCCCAGACAAGCTGAACAATTTGCAAAGGAAGCTCTTTTCGAAGCTCGCAAGGGTTATGCTATTGCCTACAATTTCGTTAAAGGTGTTAAACCAGGCGACGAAGTACCAGTCGAACCCATTACCAAATTTCCAACCAGTTTGGAAGATATAAAATTCCTAGCTCTTGATTTATACGACGAAGCTAAAGAAGCTTTATTCCCCGAAAAGAAATAAATTCGACTTGTCGCTAAAATACAGAACCTATTTAATCATGTCATAAATTTAATCGACGAAAATTATTAAGTAAATAGCGAAATGACGACAAAAAATAATACTGTGTTAATTTATTTAAAATGTCATTAGGCAAAGTGACTTCTCGAGTTGTATTTAAAGCGTAAAATTAAGAAAGTATATAATATCATAAAGCTTTCGAACATAATAAAAAGATAAATCAGTGATAACTTCAAGATGGTTTAAATTCGACGATTTAAAATAAAAAGTGTTTGTAAGTATTAATTTATGTTTGCAAAATTCAAATAAATAATAGTAAAATGGTACGATGCCGAATATTATTCAAATAAAAAACTTAACAAAGATTATATAAAATTTTCGTTTTTAATTTAGGATCAGAGGCATCATTTACCAAAATTGAATCGTTGTTCCTAGTAAAAATTATTCTTAAGTACACGTTATTTGTGTGTTTTCATTTAATTGATGTTTGTGCTTTATATATTTTCGCCATCATTCATTAGTGCTTGACTAATCGCCCATCACAGGTAAAATAAATTGTTTTTTCGTTTAACTTACACTATAGACAAATTTACATCCAAACAAAATCACTCTCATATATCCACTTTTTTAAAGTATAAGACAAAATCCAGATTAGTGCATGTTGTTCCTCTAAACTTTTCTGAAATTAGTCAAGCTTATGACTCAAAGTATTGTGAGAATCATAAAACAAAATGTTTTTAAACCGAGTACAATTTTGAATACAACGTACAGTATCGAGTTCCTTACATATATTATTTTGAAAATGATCCAGGTCACGAAAGCTTAACAATAAACCCAAAATATTTTAAAACAAACACAATTCTTTCTTGAAATAATTTAATGATGTTTGTTACTTAGCACGTTATTTAAAAACGCCTCAGGCCGAAGAATCTCAGACAAGTGTAGTTTAAACATTTTTGCAAACTATAATTTTTATTCAATTGATAATGAAAGATATTTATAAAAAAATAATTTACCTTCAGGCATCTCTTAAACATGAAATGTAATTTTTATAATTTTATTTTATGTTTTTCGTTTTAATAAATGTTTTCTAATAAGTTTCACTTTCTTATGTCTGTTTTGAAGAGACCGTATATTAAAAGTGGAAGAAATAGAAATGAAATTTATTGTCACATTTGAAATAAATTAATCATTAATCATACAAATAAATATTGGTGTTAAAGAAGACTATGTATTACATACTTAATTTGAACATTAAGTATACAGTGAATCAATGAAGTAATTTGCCTATGTAAAATTTTATAAATTTTAAGAAAAAACTTTATCTGAACAATTATTTTTAGCAAAATAAAGCAATTTGATTGTTGTATTTTTTAAAGAATATCTTATATTTTAATTTTCTACCATAAAAAGTAAAATCGTTATATTAATTAACGAGATTTTTGATAAAATGTGAACGTATTGTTAATTTTTAAGGTCAATAAAGTATTTTGCTTTTTTAGGTTTTTTTGTTAATTTTTTTAATATTTTATAAAATTTAATATTTTTATTACTCCTATATATTGGAATAACATTTTTTAGATATTTTAGTAGTGGAACGACTAAGTTTCGACATTTCTTAACCGATTTATTATCCTATATACCTATAAGAATTTTTCAATATCTGACTTAACATGAAATCTATCGTTTCTTTGATTTAATTTCGAAAATAATAAGTAATTTTGAATTGGATACATGATATATTAGGAAATCAATGGATTTGGACCTAGAAAAAAATATTAGTGGGGTTTAAATCTATAGATTATAATAAAAATAATCTGGGTTTTTGGTCATTTTGTATTGATAAACAAAAACTACATTACGGAAACCCCATCTATTTGGGGAGTACTGTGTGAATTTTATTTAGAATTGTATAATATTGATTCTTATTCAATAAAGCTAACACTAAGTACTATCCTAGCCACTCTAAGTATGGGGATATCACCGTATACCACTATAGAACTATTACATGTTAGAATTTTGATATTCTACCTCATATTTTGAATACATTATTTTATGAATAAAATACAGTAGGCGTAGATGGATTTGGATAGTTATTCTTGATTTGGGTTCTAACTATATACAAGTGTATGTATTAGCTGAAAAATATTGCTTTTGTGGATCTTAGGTGATGAGAACCGCCTCTATTTGTAAATACCTAAATTAAGTATTTTTCCCGTACCACACGATAGTTCACTTAATATTGTTTCCAAGCAACCTAAGGTCTGTTTAGAGGTCTAAAATTAAACATAGTGTTCTTTGAAGTTCGTATACGGACTTTGGAGAAGATAAATGAGGACTTCAATGGTTTTTGCTTGGATACAAGTCGCTCTCTTTTGGCAGTTAAAGATTTTGAAAGATTATTTTAATAATTATTTGTGTTAATTCATCAATTTCCATATTTTATATTTTTAAATGATTGATTAAACATCTCATAATTGAATTCCATTGATTTATACTTGTTCTAAAAATCTAAACTAATTTTTTATATTTGAATTGCCTCATTATTTCCCTTTAAACATTTTTAACGCAAATAACTACACAGTTTCACACAATAAGGATATGATTTTTGAAAATTACGATTGAAAAATACTTAACACGCGTCCTTTTAACAATAAAACAATAAATTTCAAAAAGCAATTAAAAAATAATTTGAAAAACCCAACGAAATTAACTGGAAATTTCAATATGCAAAATACTTTATTGACGTGCAAATTCTGATGAAAAATAATAAAATGCAACAACTAATGCACCAAAATTTGTATTTTAATATTTTTTTCTTGGTTTTCCCATTCTACACAATCTCTATTTTCAATTGGAAAACATAAATTTACTTTTTACCTGTTTTTTTTTAATTTTATTTATGAACAAAAAACAAAATTCTCTTAAAAAAAGGTAGGCAAAAAACTTAGTTGATTCACTGTACATGTGTACGTAAGTTTGTTATAAAAGAGTGTTTTTAATAAACCCTTTCTTAATAGTATATACACATGTAAAATTCCCAAATTATTTCATTAGCTGGACCTTTCCAAAAAATATAATAATCATTATTTATAGATTATTTTATTTTATTAGTTTTAAAAAATTTGTGGAACATAAGTTTGAATTTTGAACATTTCTTAAAAGACCTCATGTAATATCCAGATTATTTTAGCAGTTTTAAAAGGAAATGGGTATTAACATCGATTTTTCGAATATAATATTTCACTGTCATCGGGTTGTCTTGATGTATGCAGCCTATTCCATCATAATCATACGAATTCTAAATAAAAATAATAAAAAATATTGTTAACTCAAAAACGTTTTATTGATATAATTGAATTATAATCCTTGTTTTTTATTTTTTCCTTCTTTGGGCAAGACAATATATGTTTTTTTTTGTTGTTGTTATGGTCGTTTTTATAAATACAAAATAAATTCACTTAATAATACTAGAAAACATTACAATAATTCTTTACAATTGAATTTTAAGCTAAAAATGACTCTCAAGTGTTTTTCATATATATATAAATAAATATAGATACATCATACATAACATTTACATATGTATGTACGCATGTACTTATGTACAGCTGGAATGAATTTCAGTTTTTTTTTTTATAAATTATTTGAAAATGAAATGATTTATATTTCATTGATGCGAATTGAATTAATTGGGCTTTAATAATTGTTTCTAACTACATTTTAATATAATAAAATAAATAAAATCACACGTAAATTAAATAAGAATAATAAATGAGAATTGTAGAAAAATAATAATAATAATAAAAGTAAAACAATATTTCAACAATTGAGTTTAAGATATTTACACATTTGATTAGTAAAAGTAATCATAGATAATAAACATAAATAATAATCTATATTTCATATTTGTGGCTAGATAGTGGAAAGCTTATCACGTTACATTTTCTATAATCCAAGGCACGAATTTTGAAATACGCGTACACACGCCTGGCAAGTTGGCCTCAGCACAGCCTATTCCCCACGATATAATGCCAGCCAAAAAGTAACGACCATCTTGAGACTTTACCTACAAATAAAATAAAATATAAATCAAATAAATAATAATTTGTACTTAAGGACCAGGGTAATTAGTAACACACCTGAAGAGGACCACCCGAATCACCTTGGCAAGAATCTTGTCCACCAGTCTCGTAACCAGCACATAAAAATATTTCCGGTATAAATTCTTGTCTTCCTGCTCTTAGGAACATACTTTTGCAATTGTCGTTACTAACAATGGGCACCGAAACCTATAAACATTAAAAAAATTAATATAGATCGAATATTCTTCGAGTATTGTTTGATATACCTCTTGTAAAACTGATGGCAAGGTGCCTCCTTCGCTAAGTCTTCCCCAGCCCGTCACTGTTGCATTCATACCAATTAGCAAGCTATCCGTTTGCGGAAGACATATTGGACTGACATGAGGGGCAAATTCTAGTGGTTGCTCTAATTTAACTAGTGCCAAATCATATTCATATGTAAAGAAATTGTATAAAGGATGCACCACCTTTTTGGCAACACCTCTTTCAATATAGGGCAATTGTTCCTGAACATGTGAGAAATCATATTCGCCCACACGTATGCGAATTTGGGAAATTAATAAACTGTAAACAAAAAGAAAATACGATTTATATAAACAAATCATCTTTATAAAAAGTTTTATGAAATAAATAAATCGTTTAAACAATTTTCCAATTTTTAAAAAATGTAATTATTTTATTGCAATTTATAATAATTTTGAACCGCATAAAAGATAACAACACATCCATTTAAGTGTTCTCATTTAAATGATTCAGTTTCTCATTTGTGTTCGCTAAAGTGCTTTATTGTTTATATGATTCTGTAATTTGTTAAGCTATTCTGTAGTTATTAATGAGTAGATTTAATTAATTCTAATTTATAAAATTATATAATATAAATTATTACATCTCTGTAAAAATACATACTCATCCACACAATGACCAGCAGTAGCAATCCAATTTTCATTTATAAGAGCTCCACCGCATCGATGTGTACTTGAAAAGCCAAAGAATGAAGTGCGACGCACAGATACCTGCCAAGGCCAACGTCCAAATGCTGCACTTTTACCACCTACAATGCGTGTTTCCGGTCGTGTTAAAACGGGTGTTCCACATTCTGTAATGTTTTCCAATTATTTTTAATACATCATCTAATAAATAATTACTAATGTTTACTTAAAGGTAAATATATAAATAATATAGTGTAGAAAAAGAGAAGGAAAAAAAACTTACCACTACGGGCGGCTGATATGGTCTTAATAGTGGCGCTATCAATGTCTAAATGGTCACTAATTTCATTCGATTCGATTGAGCTGAGATTATGAGGTGGTGGTAATGTGTTTGAAGATGATGACGCTGCAGTTGTTGTAGTAGATGGTCGCTGAGAGGATGTTGGTCTCTGTGATGGTTTTGTTGGAAAAACAGCAGTTGTTGTTGTTGGCTTAGACGCCGCCGCCGTTGATGGTTTTTGGCTGTAACTTGTAGACGTTGTAGAAGAAGTTGTTGCTGGTTTTGTTGGAATGTACATTGATGTTGATGGTAAAGCTGATGTTGACGATGTTGTAGTCGTCGTTGTTGTTGTTATTGCTGTACTACTGCTTACACTTGAGGTAGGTTTAGTATAGGGTTTGGTTGTATTAGGTGATGGCTTTGATGTTGGCTTAGTACTTTGTGCAACAACCTTTAAATATGAAAACGAAAAAAAAAAAACACAAATAAGAAATCATTTAGTCATCTTCTGATTTCTGATCATAATGACGTCGTCTAATGACTCCGCCCATAACGTACAATATGTAAATACGAAATTTTTCCTCTCCCTATTTTTCTAATTCTACTGTTACGTCTATAGAAAGGCCTGTGGTCAAAAAAATCTTACGAACTAAATCCACTGACTGTCTGTCAGTTAGTTAGATGAATAAACCACATGCATAAATATAAATTAGTATTCATTTGGCCATTAAGCGAAAAGAAAAGCTAAAAGGACGGGCGCAAACACACTTCTACACAATACGTGTGTTTTCGGATCTGCTGCACCGTAGATCTGAGTCACAGTGTCTATCTGGGTCTGTACTTTTGCAGAGCACAAAACAAACATATACAAGTCTATACTACACATGACGTTGGAGCTCTTGTGCTGCCACACCCAAAGTCAAGACAATCTTTCATCAGGTATTTTCAAACAATAAAACGTCCCCTTAGGCCATAAATTCATTATCCCTAACGCGAAGCTGGCCATCCAGTCGGCATGGGAGTGAGTGTGTGAGTGTGCAAAAGATTATGCCAAAATGTAATATTTAAGTAAAAGTAAATGACCACAATGCCTTCAATTACTAACCTGAGGTTTAGTTTTTGTTGTTGTTGTCGTCATCATTAACGTCGTTGTAGCTGTTGTTGGAGTAGTTGATGAGAGTGATTCAACAGGATTCTTTGAAGGCTTATTCTTGATCGTAGTTGCAGTGGTCGTAGTAGATGTACTGGTCGAATGTGTATTAAATGAAGGCTTTTGTGTTAATTGCTGTTGTAGTTGTTGTTGGGTCAACCAATCGAGGGCTGTAGTAGGCTTTTTACTGGGTTTGGGTAGCTTTGGTGGCTTAGGCGGCTTAGGTCTCAATGTCGAAGGTTTATCCCATGATGGTGGCCTTGGCTTTGTAATAAAATTTGGTTCAGTCGTTAAGTGCCAATGTTGTTGCTGTTGGTGATTAACTAAAATAAAAAAGAAATACATTTTTTAATTTTTTGCATTTTATAGATTTTCGGAGCCAATAATTTTCTGTCTAATAATTCATTATGAATTCTTAATTTACTTGTTGTTGCTGAGGCAATACTAGCCGATGATTGCAAATCGCCCAAAATGGAGTTTGATGTCCATAATATGGTCGGATCATCTGTCGTAGTGGTTGAGGTCGTACTTGTTGCAGAACTTGATAAAGCTGTGCTTGCATATGGGGGCTTTGAGTGGTGAGGTTTTAATAGCGCACCTTGATGATGAGGTCCTGAAGGTCTTATGACCAATGTGCCCGCTCCGTGTGGTCTTTCTATCGTTGTCATTCCGCTAAAAATACAAGATGTTAATAACAAAGTAAAACTAAAACTAAATGTAGAAAAATTTAATTTGATTCGCAAAATTCTAAAGTTGAAAATTAAAAAAATGTCTTCCATAAAAAATATATTTAAAAAACTAAAATATATCCGATGAGTGCAAGAAATAGGTATAATTCTGAATTTTACAACTGTTAATAGATTTGGGGCTGAGTTTTCAAGAAACTTAGCTATAGAACAAAATAAACCATACCTGATACTGGGACGATGTGGTTGCTGAGGCGGCCGTGGCCTATGATTCATACTACCGATTCCTAATGGTTTAGTGGGTCTGGTGTATGAAAATGTATTCTGTTGCACTATGTTGTCCGTGTAGTTGTGAACACAACAAGAGCCAAACATAAACGAATCCACGCACATGCCAACATGTCGACCCTCAGACTTTATACACTCCCAGACAAACATACAGGTTCCTTCAATACGGCCCGTAGAACAAGGCTTCGGACTAATTTTAAAGTTTTGACTCCTTAGTAAATTATCGTCCAAGTTGTGTTGGATCTGAAGACCATTGTAACCGAAGGCAGAACCACCAATGTTATGAGGCTGTCGAAAGAATGAATCCTCTTCATCCTCGTTTGAATTTAAGTTTAAACTTTCGCTATTACGAAAATTACTGCTAAAAGCACTTGCCTCGGCTTGATGATGGTATCCTCTGGCCGGTTGTAAATCACCATAAGCAGCCAAAGCCAATGGCAAATGCGTTAGCCTATATAATAGACAATTGACTAAAACTAACGCTAATAATACTTCTAGTATTTGGTTGAAACAGGACTTTTTTAAAGGCCATCGTAAATAAAAATCTAAATGTCTTCTCCGTACGGTTAACGGTTCATTTCTACTACTATCTTGTGGGTGCAGGTGTGAGTGAAAATGCGTCTGTGTTTGAAAATTTTTGTGAAAGGGGTGAAATGCTGCTGGACCATTTGTATTCGCTAGTGTGCTGTAATTTTGTGCTGGATGATTCTGCTTCTGTCCCGTAACATTATGTTTATTAGCACCATCATGATTATGATCATTATCATCGTATTGATTGACTAGCCATTGCCGACTATAGCGATTCTTCCTCATGTTTCAAGTGGATGTAGTGATCTAAAGAAAAAAAAAAAAGACATAATGACATGAAAACAAAAGTCCCAACAAAAGATGAACAAAAGTTAATAAAAAGGTCTTCTGATTACATTTTACCACTTATTAAAGAATTTCGAAAGTTGTTAATTTCTTAGACAAATGTTTTTGAAATGTTTTCAGTTTTTTTATTACATATTTTTTTTGTGTTTTTCGTTTTATGCTTTTCTTTTCTTGAATTGTGTGTGGCTGTGTTTGTAGGTATTAAATGATTTACCATTTTTAACTAAGATACAAGATTGCGTGAGTCTATCTATGGTTTATAAGTTTAATTGTTAATATTTCTAATTGCTATCATCACTATTATTACAGTCTATCACAAAAACACTAGTAATAGTATTACACAAACAACGTACATACATAAACAAAAGATATTGCAGTCATTTAGTCACACACACACACACACATTTATATCGACAACTATTTGATGTCGGTGCGCTGATGGCATTTACGGTTTTGCTCACCTCCCCTGATAATCGTGTATTTTCTACAAACTTAAATTATACATCAAAAGACATAAATAAATAAACTTTTAATCCATTAGGATGACAACATCGGTTAGGATCAAGAAAACAAGTATTCTCAACTAGAATTAAAAAAGTTTCTTTTTATTTACTTACGAGAAATACATATGTACATACATTCATACATATGTATGTACCTACCTACATATACTATATGTATGTAATGAGCTTCATTATGCTCTTCATAATGAAATAAAATTAAATAGTAATTAATTAATAATTGAAAAAGTAGATCATTATCCAATTTTCATTATATGACACTTGTTTTCTGTTTATAAAATAAATAAATTTCGAAGAGACAGTTTTAAAATAAAACTGTTACTCCAAAATATATCAATATAGAAACCCTATTAAATATTTCCATTACGATCCATCTAATTAAGTATGTGTTGGTAAATAACACAGTATATGTATATGTGTGTGTGTGCATGTACCTATTGCAGTTATTGCTGTAGTACGTACATGTTATTGGCAACATTTTTTTGTAGGCAACCAGTGACTGGTTTAATTGCAGCTTTTCACTTTTGCTTTAAAATTGTTTATTAAGAAAACAAAAAATAACTAAACATTTTTTTGTCTTGCTCTTCCATGAAACTGCAAGAGCAGCAAATACAGCTAGTACAACAAAATATGTATTTTACCAAATGCAATTAAAAGCGTTAGTGCGTTAGTAATTTGCTAGAGGTTTTTGCGAACTGACTGTTGAATGTTGAATGCTGAATGTCTGGCGTATGATCTACATCGCATATTTTTAGGGATTGGTATTATTTATTCACTCTTTAACACAGACAAACACTGGCTTAAATTGTAAAATTTTTGTATTTTGGGTTTGGTTTGACATTTGCTTGCCAACTGCAACCTAAATATGTACGGCATACGGTTTAGATACAATATACAAGTGTTTTTGGGGACGAATTTCAATTGGGTCGGTCGGCAACTAAAAATTGTATCTATCTCTAGTACTATGTGTTTGCGTTTACCTTAGTATCACTTATAAAAAATGATCGATTTTTAAACAGAAAGTTTATTTTCGAAAATTATATCGAAATTATATTGAACATTTACAACTGAAACAAGTAAGAAAGTATAGTCGGGCGTGGCCGACCATATGATACCCTACACCAGTTATGAATATTAAATGTGATTTATTTTTCATAATAAAGCATTTATCTTCAATATTCCCTTGTTCCGATACATTTAAGCAATTTATGGATGAAAATCTAATTTTCTGAAAGAGGCTTTATATGGGGGCTAGGGGCAAATATGGACCAAGCCCGATAAAATTTTGTGAATATATTTATATTTACATAATATTTTATTGTGCTAAATTTCATCGCGATATTTGTGTTTATAAGTTAATTTGGGACATTCAAGTAATTTTCTGAAGGGGACTTTGTATGGGAGCTAGGGTCAAATGGGGCCCGATCTTTATGAAATTTGGCAGGGTCATCCAGACTTCTATAAAACTTAGTTGTGCCGCATTTTATCGATATATCTGTAAATTTAACAAAATTATGAGCTCAAAAGCCCTTTTCGGGGGGTTCTGTTCTATGGGGGCTAGGTGAAATAATGGACCGATTTCAACCATTTTCAATAGGCTTCGTCCTTGGGTCAAATAAAACGTGCGTGCCAAATTTCATCCAATTATCTTGAAAATTGCGACCTGTACCTTGCGCACAAGGTTTACATGGACAGCCAGCCAGCCAGCCAACCTGCCAGACGGACGGACGGACGGACATAGCTTAATCGACTCAGAAAACGATTCTAAGCCGATTGGTATACTTTAAGGTGGGTCTAGGACGAATATTTTTGTATGTTACAAACATCAGCACAAATCCAATATACCCTCCCCACTAAAGTGGTGTAGGGTATAAAAACAAAAGTTTATATATTTTTTACAAAGTTTTACATGTTAGTGAGTTAATATGTTTGAAATTTGGCAAATACGGGTACACCTGAGGCAAATGCAATATTATACATATGTATATAGTCGAAAACATGGTTCAAAATTTATAACGGAGTTTTGAATCAGTTACCGTGACCCGAATTCATTAAAATTGTTTAATTTGTACTAAAATGATATTGGACTCCTTGCCTCCTAATTATACAGATGGAACAAATTCATAATTAGTTTATGACAGTTATTAACAACACGCATAATCCAAATTTTATTAAAACAAGTTTTTTTTACTAAAAATTGATTAGATTTATGTATAATATTCAGGATAACATAATTACTGAATAATGCAGCAACATGGTCGTAATAAATACTACAAGTAGAACCTCTAAGCGTGACTTTATTTTATTTACTTGTTTTGATCGAAATCATTAAGGAAATTATGTTAGTCAAATCAAGCACATGTGAACACGGCCTTAAACTAAACTGAATTGAACTACATACATACATATGTATAGTAAATGGTAGTCAGATAAAAATACGCAAAAATCTCAAGTCGTAATACGAGTGCTTTATAAAATTTCCCAATTTTAAACATTAAATTTTTATTTATTTTATTTTTGCTCTTTCTAAAATATGGGTCAGTTCCTGGCTAAAAGAATTTATATGTGCATATTTACTGGTTTACGTTACTAGCGTGTCTTTTTGGTTGGCAAGTTTAACGCCCATTTTTGTATTTTTTTATTATTATTCTTTTTTTTCAGTTTTGGTATAAGATCTGGTTTGTGTGCCAATATTAATGGCCATCTTAAGAAATGTTCATTAATCTAGTTTTGAAAATTGTATAAATATTTAAATGTTAATTGATACACACACTAAATATCACTTTATTAATACATACAAACGTATAACGCAGTTCAATAACCTTATTTTTTGTATGTATTAGTTTGAACAATTATTGAATGCAAAATTAATCAATTTAATACTTATTTTGCTATTTGTATTTGTTAACAAAATAGCTGCTAGTAAAATATTGTCTATTTGTGTAAAAAGTAATTAACGAATATTCAACAGGCTAATAACAAATCATTTATCATATTTTATGTGTTTAAATATCTAAATAACTTAATTAAGTTTTAAAAAAAGTTTACACAAGTATTGTGAACTTGTTTTTTGTTTTACTTTCACGTAGTATATGCGATTGATTAATTTTAAATGTTCTATTAATTGCTGCGAACTAGTAAAAATAGGTCAAATAGCTTATTAAGTGGGAACATCTTATATGCAAGATCTATTCCTAGAATTGAGAGAGTTTAAAATCATATTTTATGATCTTTTTTATATCCTTCACCTTCGTAAGAAGGGTATATATAAGTTTGTCATTCCGTTTGTAATTTCTATAATATAATTTTCCGACCCCATAAAGTATATACAGTGTCTCTCATAAGTATTCGAATTTAGGCAAACTATGAAAAGAAACCAAATTTAATAATATATTTTGTATGGAAAATAAATAAATTAATTTGTTATATTGTCTAGATAGTCCTTAGTTTTGATATCACGCCCCTTAAAACTTGAAAACTTTACATTTACTTAAATTAGTTGTGCTTTTTTAAAAAAAGTCCATGAAACTACTTCACAAAAGTATGCGAATTTTTCCTGTATTTCATATTTGATCATATTATACGATACACAAATTTTAGAATCGCATGGTTTTATGCTTAATATTGTTTTAAGGGGTTACTATCAACCGCATGGATATATTTTTGACCCATTTGGTCCACAATTTTGGGAGATTTGTACCCTCTTTTCATAAAATATCATTAAAATGGCGATTTTTGACTATATTTGTAATGTTTTCACCCTTTTTCCAGAGATAAAATCAAAATTAAATATTGGAATTTAATAGAACCCGTAGGGTATCTAAAAATAATATTTTTTGTTATAAGGATTTGTACTTAAAAGTTCCAAGATGTATTTTTGGTATCGGTTTTCAGTTTCTAATTGAATTATCTGGATCATAAGTCCCTTTTCGTACCTCTAGGGACGATATTTTCCGACAAAGTTGTCTAGTGTATATTCATGTACATATTGGCACTAATGTATTTTAAATTTTCAATATATTATAGCGGTATACAACCCCAAAACATGCCTTAACAAAAAATTTACAATTATGGCCAAAAATCGCCATTTTAATGATATTACATGAAAACAGGGTACAAATTCCCCAAAATTGTGGACCAAATGGGCCAAAAATATATCTTTTCCGTGGATAGTAACTCCTTAAAACAATATTACGCATAAAAACCATTTGATTCTAAAATTTGTGTTGGGTATAATATGATCAAATATGAAATACAGGAAAAATTCGTATACTTTTGTGAGGCAATTTCATGGACTTTTTTTAAAAAAGCACAGTTAATTTAAGTCAATGCTAATTTTTCAACTTTTAAAAAGCGTGATATCAAACATAAGGACTATCTAGACAATATAACAAATTAATTTATTTATTTTGCACACAAAATATATTATTAAATTTGGTT